TTGGAGGGTGAACCAACGGCAAAGGAAGACCTTTCTCTCTGTCTCTCTCTCTCACTGTCCACTCTGCCTGTCAAAAAAAAAAAAAATTATATAAAAAAAAAAAAAAAAAAGAAATGGCTGATTTTGGCCGGCACCGCGGCTCACTAGGCTAATCCTCTGCCTGCGGTGCTGGTACTCCAGGTTCTGGTCCTGGTTGGGACGCTGGTTCTGTCCCAGTTGCCCCTCTTCCAGGCCAGCTCTCTGCTGTGGCCAGGGAAGGCAGTGGAGGATGGCCCAAGTGCTTGGGCCCTACACCCACATGGGAGACCAGGAGGAAGCACCTGGCTCCTGGCTTTGGATTGGTGCAGTGTGCCAGCCATAGCGGCCATGTGGGAGGAGGTGAACCAACAGAAGGAAGACCTTTCTCTCTAACTCTGCCTGTCAAAAAAAAAAAAAAAAAAGGTTGATTCTATCTAGATTTCAGCGAGGACAAGTATAATGAGACTGGAACATCTTTTTATGCTAGAAAATAAGGAAATGCTTCCCAAAAAATGACTAAAGAGTACACCAGAGCCAAATGCTAGGTCTATGGGGCCAGCACTGTAGCTTAGCAGGTAAAGCTGCTGCCTGCAGTACTGGCATTCCATATGGGTTCTGGTTCGAGTCCCGGCTGCTCCACTTCCAATCCAACTCTCTGCTATGGCCTGGGAAAGCAGCAGCAGAAGACGGGCCAAGTCTTTGGGCCCCTGCTCCCATGTGGGAGACCGAGAAGTTCCTGGCTCCTGGCTTCGGATCAGCCTACCTATGGCCATCATGGCCATTTGGGGAGTGAACCAGAGGATGGGAAGACCTTTCTTTCTCTGCCTCTGCCTCTCTTTAACTCTGCCTTTCAAATAAATAAATAAATCTTTATTAAAAAAAAAAAAAGGCCTACTATAGGGCCAATCTAGGACAGTTCAAGCAGCGCAATAATAAGAATAAGCTACGGCAAATGTGAGGCTTTAAGTTCATACCAATAGTGAAACGTAAACAGGAGGGGCCGGCGCCGTGACTCACTAGGTAAATCCTCTGCCTGCAGCGCCAGCATCACATATGGGCGCAGGGTTCTACTCCTGGATGCCCCTCTTCCAGGCCAGCTCTCCGCTGTGGCCCGGGAAGGCAGTGGAGGATGGCCCATTTGCTTGGGCCTCTGGCACCGGCATGGGAGACCAGGAGGAAGCACCTGGCTCCTGGCTTTGGATCGGCGTACTCTGGCCGTTGTGGCCATTTCGGGAGTGAACCAGCAGAAGGAAGACCTTTCTCTCTGTCTCTCTCTCTCTCTCTGTCTGTAAATAGAATGAGTGGTGGTATTAAAAAAGCATCATCTGTAACCACTGTAGTAAGGAACAACAATCAATGGATATTAAACTCAATGGGAAGTATCATTGGAAAACAAAAATATTCGTGTGGTCTTAAAGTGCCTCCTACTACTTATTTGTTATTTGGGGAAATTACAATAACTAATACAGAGGGAAAATCATGTATCTTGACTGAGGGATAAAAACTAACATTGGCCGGCGCCGCGGCTCACTAGGTTAATCCTCCACCTTGCGGCGCCGGCACACCGGGTTCTAGTCCCGGTCGGGGTGCCGGATTCTGTCCCGGTTGCCCTCCTTCCAGGCCAGCTCTCTGCTGTGGCCAGGGAGTGCAGTGGAGGATGGCCCAAGTGCTTGGGCCCTGCACCCATGGGAGACCAGGAGAAGTACCTGGCTCCTGCCATCAGATCAGCGCGGTGCACCGGCCGCAGCATGCAAGCCGCGGCAGCCATTGGAGGGTGAACCAATGGCAAAAGGAAGACCTTTGTCTGTCTCTCTCTCTCACTGTCCAAAAAAACAAAAACAAAACAAAACAAAACAAAACACCAAAAAACCAACCTAACATTATCAGTGAGTGGCCAGTGAGCATTATATACAAATAGATGTAACACTCTGAATACTTAAAATATTCTGGCCAAGAATGAATAACCTAAATCGCATTATGAGAACTGTTTTATATACATATATATAAAACATATATACATACATATATTGTATGTATATAAAATATGTTATAAATATGTGTATATATATAAACAAATATATCAATGTTGGGGCATGTGTTTGGTAAAGCAGTTAAGTTAGAGCTTCAGACATGCACATCCCATATGGGAGTGCTGGATTTGAGTCCTGGCTCCTTTGTTTCCAATCCAGCTTCCTATTAACATGTACCCTAGGAAGTAACAGATGACAGCTCAAGTATTTGGGTCCCTGCCACCCATGTGGGAGATCAGACTGAGTTCCTAGCACCTGGCTTTGGCATAGCCCAATCCTGGCTGTTGTGGACATCTGGAGAGTGAACAAAGGGAAATTTTTCCTGTCTTTCTGTCTCTTGGCCTTTCAAATAAAATGTAAAAAAAAAAAAATTTAATTTTAATTTTTAAAATATCAATGTTGTAAAAGACAAAGAAAGGCTAAAGAAGCGTTCCAGATTAAATATGACTACAGACAAGGTAATTAAATGGAATACCTGACCCTGTATCAGGTATCATGCATAGAACGGGGAAAAAAATGCTATTAAGGATATTAGGAGCTCAACTGAAATACTGGATTATACAAGATATAAAAGCACAGCATCAACATTCCATTTTCTGTAATTGCTAGTTGTACTGTGCTTTTATTGAAGAACATCCTTATTCTCAGAAATTGAACACTGAAGAACCCAGGAGAAAAGATCTTTGATATATAAAACTTATTCTCAGATGGTTTAGGAAAAATATAACCCCTCATACCTCCACAGAACAGATGATAAAGCAAGTGGTACAAAATGTTAACAGGTGAAAATTTGGTAAGATATACATTTTATATAAATATATATAGACAGAGACCGTGGTGCAGTGGGTTAAGCCAGTGACTGGGGCACCGACATCCCATATGGATGCTGGTTTGTGTCTTGGCAGCTCTTCTTCTGATCCCTGATGATGTGCCAGGCAAAGCTGTGGAAGATGGCCCAATTGCTTGGGGCCCTGCACCCATGTGAGAGACCCAGAAGAAGCTCCAGGCTCCCATTCGGCCCAGCTCCGGCCATTGTGGCCATTTGGGGAATGAACCAGTAAATGGAAGACCTTTATCTCTATCTCTCCCTTTCTCTCTAACTCTACCTTCTAAATACATAAATAAAATCTTAAAAAAAAGAAAAAAAGAAAGAAAGAAAGAAAAGAAAAAAGGCGGGGGGTAGGCAGCACTGTGGCATAGACAGTTAAGCCACTGCCTGCAGTGCCGGCATCTCATATGGGTGCTGATTCAAGTCCCGGCTTCTCCACTTTCAATCCAGCTCCCTGCTATGGCCAGGGAAAGCAATGGAAGATGGCCCAAGTCCTTGGGCCCCTGCAACCACATGGAAGACCCCCCAAGAAGCTCCTGGCTTTAGATTAATTTAGCTCTAGCCATTGTAGCCATTTGGGGAGTAAACCAGCAGATGGACAGTCTTTCTGACTCTCCCTCTGTAACTCTTCCTTTCAAAAAAATAAATAAATCTTTAAACAACAACAAAAAAATTTCATGCATCTTTCATTATTTTGTTTGTGATAACTGTCATATTAGCCACCTCTCAAAGTTCAAAGCTTGTAACTGCCATTGGATGATGACAGAAAAAAAGTTATGGCCAATAACAAAATACGGATTTGAGATACAAAATTTACCAGAGTAAAGCACTCAACATCCTATTCAACACAATATATTTTTAAAAACAAGCTTAGGAGGGCTAGTGCTGTGATACAGCAGGTTAAAGTCAAGGCTTGCAGCACTGGCAACCCATATGGGTACCAGCTGGATCCCGGCTGCTCCACTTCTGATCCAGCGCACTGCTCATGTGCCAGGGAAAGCAGCGGAGGATGGCTCAAAGGCTCAAGTACTTGGACTCCTGGCTCCTGTCTTCAGCCTGGCCCAGCCCCAGCCACTGTGGCCATTTGGAGAGTGAGTCAGCAAATGGAAGATCTTTTTCTTTCTCTCTTTCTCTCTCTCTGTAATTCTGCCTTTCAAATAAATAAAATAAATCTTTAAAAACAAAAACAAACTTAGGGACCAGTGTTGTGGTGCAGTGGGTTAAGCTGCTGCCTGTGGAGTCGGGATTCTACACGAGCACCAGGTCAAGCCCCAGCTATTCCATTTCAGATCCAGCTCCCTCTAATGTGTCTGGGAAAGAAGGGGAGGATGGCCCAAGTGCTTAGGCCCCTGCCACCAACATGAGGGACTTGGATGGAGTTCCAAGCTCCTAGCCTCAGCATACCCCAGCCCCAGCCATTGCAGTTATTTAGGGAGCAAACTAGCAGACAGAAGATCTCTTTCTCTCTCTGTAACTCTGCCGTATTAAATAAATAAAAAGAATCTTTATTAAAAACAAAACTTAGGGCCGGCGCCGCGGCTCACTAGGCTAATCCCCCACCTTGCGGCGCCAGCACACCGGGTTCTAGTCCCGGTCGGGGCGCCGGATTCTGTCCCAGTTGCCCCTCTTCCAGGCCAGCTCTCTGCTGTGGCCAGGGAGTGCAGTGGAGGATGGCCCAAGTGCTTGGGCCCTGCACCCTATGGGAGACCAGGAGAAGCACCTGGCTCCTGCCATCAGATCAGCGCGGTGCGCCGGCCACAGCATACTGGCTGCGGCGGCCATTGCAGGGTGAACCAATGGCAAAGGAAGACCTTTCTCTCTGTCTCTCTCTCTCACTGTCCACTCTGCCTGTCAAAAACAAACAAACAAACAAAAAAAACTTAGGATAAAAGTCATTCTTACTAACTTGTTTTGCTTTAAACTTATACACATAAAGTCACATGGGTAAATAATGTCATGTCAGTTAAGACCCAGTTGTAAAATCAGACCAAACTGCCCAAATCAATATTTGAATACTGGAAAAATATTTTTAATCTGTACTTTAATACTTTGTCTCTTACATGTCAGGTTTGCTTGCTAGATTTAAAAAAAAACACACACACACACAAAACATAGAAACTTACAGTTCATCTCGTTGTCTCTGGGACAGCACCATCCTGGCTGTGATGTCAAGCTTCTCTGATATAGTGCGATGTCCCTCCTTTGGGAAATCAAAAAGCTTTGTGATCCCTGGATTTGTAATTAAATATGCCACCAAGTGGCTTCCACACAGGAGAAAATGATTCTTTTACAAGTGAATCCAACCAGTAATCAGGAGATATTCAACAAGTAAGGTTCATTCCACCTGAGGGGAAAAAAAAAGAGAAAAGATTATCTCTAGTAAAGTTTAAATTATTACTAAATTATTAACTTCAGCACATATATATATATATATTTTTTTTTTTGACAGGCAGAGTGGACAGTGAGAGAGAGAGACAGAGAGAAAGGTCTTCCTTTGCCGTTGGTTCACCCTCCAATGGCCGCCGCGGCCGGCGCACCGCGCTGATCCGATGGCAGGAGCCAGGAGCCAGGTGCTTTTCCTGGTCTCCCATGGGGTGCAGGGCACAAGCACCTGGGCCACCCTCCACTGCACTCCCTGGCCACAGCAGAGAGCTGGCCTGGAAGAGGGGCAACCGGGACAGAATCCGGCGCCCCAACCGGGACTAGAACCTGGTGTGCCGGCGCCGCTAGGCGGAGGATTAGCCTAGTGAGCCGCGGCGCCGGCCTCAGCACATATTTTACAACTCACATGTACTGTGTTGCTAACATGAGTAATAGGTGTTTCCAACTCTCAAAGTCCATTGTCAAAATATATATGTTATAGGGACTGGGGATCAGTGGGTTAAGGCTTTGCCTGTGACACCGGCATCCCATTAGTGCCAGCTGAAGTCCCAGGTGCTTCGTTTCTGATCTAGCTCCTTGCTAACATTCCTAGGAAACAGTGGAAGATGGTTCAAGTGCTTGAGACACTTGGTTCCCGACTTCAGCCTTGCCCAGCCCTGGCTATTGCGGCCATTTGGAGAGTGAACTAGTGGATAGATCTCTCTGTTTTCCCCCTCTCCCTGGCCCCCAACTCTGCCTTTCAAATAAATAAATAAATCTTGAAAAAATATATATATATACATATATATTATGTATTTTAAACTAACTTTAGTGTAGTAATTCAAAACAGCACTTAAAATCATTTATTTATTCATTTATTATTTATTTGAAAGGGAGAGTGACAGAGAACACACTATCTTCCATCTGCTGATCCACTCCCCTAATGTCCACAACATCTGAGGAGTAGGCCAGTAAGAAACCAGAAGCAAGGAAGTCAGTCTTGGTCTTTCCTGTGGGTGACAGGGACCCAAATACTTTCAAGTGCTACCTCTCAGGCACATTAACAGGAATGCTGCCTCCAAAGGAGCAGTGGGACTCAATCCTAGGCATCCTGGTATGGGATATGGGTAGTCTAAGTGGCATCTCAACCCATTACGCCACAACAGCCACCCCATAAACAGCGCCATTTTTAAACTGAACATATATTTACCTACTTCAAGCCATGTTACCTGACAGATACATGTTATTTCAAATATTAACATATAACTTTTTTAGAAGACTATAATTTTCCCTTAAAGACAAAAATTACATCTTCTAATTTACAAAATAGCTAAAACAAGTACAATAGGCAGCAGGCTTTTGGCACAGTGGTTAAACTGCAACTAAGGACACCCACATTCTATATTAAGTCCTAGCTCTGTTGCTGACCTTAGCTTTCTTGCTCATACATACCCTGGGAGGCACAGATGATAGCTCAAGTCCTTAGGTCTCTGCTACACTCATGGGAGACTTGGACTAAATTTTCCACTCCTGACTTAGGCTGGCCTGATCCCTCAATGTTACAGCAACCACCAGATGGAAGGTCTCTGTCCCTCTCTCTATGCCTTTCAAATAAATAAAATTAAACAGCTAAGGTTTTCATAAACGTGTCAACCATGGTTGAATGCTAGCCACCAAGTCTTAGACTTGCTGTAAATTAACGGTTTAGCAATCTCATGCTCTCTTAACCAATGAAGGCACTTAAGAAACCAATTCATTTTTTATTTATTTATTTTTTTTTTTGACAGGCAGAGTGGACAGTAAGAGAGAGAGAGAGAAAGGTCTTCCTTTTGCCGTTGGTTCACCCTCCAATGGCCGCCGCGGCCGGCGCACTGCGGCCAGCGCACCGCGCTGATCCGAAGGCAGGAGCCAGGTACTTATCCTGGTTTCCCATGGGGTGCAGGGCCCAAGCACTTGGGCCATCCTCCACTGCACTCCCTGGCCATAGCAGAGAGCTGGCCTGGAAGAGGGGCAACCGGGACAGAATCCGGTGCCCTGACCGGGACTAGAACCTGGGGTGCCGGCGCCGCAAGGTGGAGGATTAGCCTAGTGAGCCGCGGCGCCGGCCCGAAACCAATTTAATTTCAATCTATTCTGTGTCCCTTCGAAGTATGTGCTTTAAAAACAAAAAACAAGGCTGCCGCCACAGCTCACTAGGCTAATCCTCTGCCTGTAGTGCTGACACCCCAGGTTCTAGTCCTGGTTGGGGCGCCGGATCCTTTCCCGGTTGCTCCTCTTCCAGTCCAGCTCTCTGCTGTGGCCTGGAAAGGCAGTGGAGGATGGCCCAAGTGCTTGGGACCTGCACCCGCATGGGAGACCAGGAGGAAGCACCTGGCTCCTGGCTTCGGATCGGCACAGCGTGCCAGCCATGGCAGCCATTTGGGGGATGAACCAACAGAAAAGGAAGACCTTTCTCTCTAACTCTGCCTGCCACTCTCGTAACTATAAAATACAAAATAAAAAAAAAGCCAAATGAACTATCCTAGATGAACTATCCTAGATTCTACATGCTCAAATAAGTCATCCATTTCTGTAGCCTAGTTTTTGGGCAACTTAACTTTTAACACATCAGAGCCCTTGTGAACTGTGTTATACCACAAAACTCATTTCTATATAGTATTTTAAAATTCTGATCAACTCAGTAAGAGTAACTGTAAGCACAAATAAGAATAATCAAGAACTGCTTCATAAAGAATCATTCTTCAAATTACCTTATCACAGTATGCATAAACAGTCAGAAAGAACTACTGGATTTGGGATACATCTGAGATGACCTTATATAATATGCAATCTATTGGCATATAAAATTCAGTTGGAAGAGGACACTTCAAAGCAGTACAAAATCATCCTTCAAATGAATCAAAATTAACATATCATGAAAGGCCTGTGGGATCACCAGTCAAGAGACACACATGGACAGAGGAAACAAGGATGTTTCTTGAGAGCCTTTCTCACATGGCAGTGTTCCATAGTGTTCTGAATAATCCAGCTGAGAGATAAAAACATGAAAGCAGACACTGGTTTCAAAGTTCACAGAAAATCTGTATTAACTTGATTCCATTTCTACATAAGTACTTTTTTTTTTTCTTTTTTTTTGGACAGGCAGAGTTAGACAGTGAGAGAGAGACAGAAAGAAATAAGTACTTTTTTTGTTTTTTTTTTTGACAGGCAGAGTGGACAGTGAGAGAGAGAGACAGAGAGAAAGGTCTTCCTTTGCCATTGGTTCAACCTCCAATGGCCACCGTGGCCAGCGCACTGCGGCCGGCGCACCACGCTGATCCGAAGGCAGGAGCCAGGTACTTATCCTGGTCTCCCATGGGGTGCAGGGCCCAAGCACTTGGGCCTTCCTCCACTGCACTTCCTGGCCACAGCAGAGAGCTGGCCTGGAAGAGGGGCAACCGGGACAGAATCCGGTGCCCCGACCGGGACTAGAACCCGGTGTGCCGGCGCCGCAAGGCGGAGGATTAGCCTAGTGAGCTGCGGCGCCGGCGAGAAATAAGTACTTCTTTTATTTACTATTTTATTTGAAAGGCAAAGAGACAGAGATACAAAGTTAAGAGGTCTTCCATCCATCAGTTCCTGCAACAGCCAGGGCTGGGACGGGCCAGGTCAAAGCCAGGAGCCTGCAACTCAGTCTAGTCTAGGTCTCCCATGTGAGTGGAAGGGACCCAAGTATTAGAGTTATCAACTTCTGCCTCCAAGGGTGCCCATTATTAGCAGGAAGTTGGGAAGAAAGCAAAAGAACTGAACTCAATAGCATCTTCATCTCTGTGGGAAACACCTGCCCCTCCAGAAACTTTTTGAAATTCTCTTGTATGAATCCTAAACCAAAAGTCAGAGCTCAGACACTCCCAATGGCAGTTATTAATTTTTTAAAAGATTTATTTATTTATTTGAAAGTCAGAGTTACACAGAGAGAAGAGAGGCAGAGAGAGAGAGAGAGGTTTTCTATCTGCTGGTTCACTCCCCAATTAGCCACAATGGCTGTAGCTGGGCCAATCCAAAGCCAGGAGCAAGAAGCTTCCTCCAAGTCTCCCTCGTGGGTGAAGGGGCCCAAGGACTTGGGCCATCTTCTACTGCCTTCCCAGGCCATAGCAGAGAGCTGGATTGGAAGTGGAGCAGGCAGGACTCAAACCAGCCCCCCTATGGGATGCTGGCACTGCAGGTGGCACTGGCCCCAGTTATTGATTTCAACAGAGCTCTTTGTCCATTGAGCAATTCTACTAAATAAGAGGAGGCTTCAATAAGTTTGTGGGATCTGCAGTGTCTTTTAATTCTATTTTTCCATAATCTTTCTGAAGCTCCCTCATATAAGCAGGAATATATTTTAATTCTTAATGATTATTCTGACCTGGGGCCCAGTTCACTAAAAACAATAACCAAAAGCCATTATTACCACTCTATCTAAAGTCAGAAAAAAAATAACTGACATTAATAACTGAATTAGAATCAAAGACAATGGACAACCCAGAAGAGTACCTGTCCTAGCATTCTCAAACTGTTTATCAACCTATTTATTTGAAAAGCACAGAAACAGAGAAAGTGAGAGAGAGATCAATCTTCCATCTGCTACTGTCTACACCCCAGATAGTCACCAATGGCTAAGATTGGGCCCAGGCCAAAGCCAGGAGCCTAGAACTCATTCTGGGTCTCCTATGTGGCTGACAGGGGCCCAAAAGTACTTGGGCCTTCTGCAGCTGCCTTCCCAGTGCATTAATGGAGCTGGATTGGAAGCAGAGCAGCCAGTGCTCCAGTATGGGATGTCAACATACAAGCAGGGGCTTAACCTGCTTTGCCACAATGCTGGCCCCAACAATGAGTAATTTTAGTATCACCATTTTCATCCTGTAACTACTCAGAAGTTGCTAGCATAACAAAAAGATACCCAGACATGATTTATCTGGTTATACGTCTATGTAACTATAATTTATATTAGTGTAGTAA